TTAAATGAAAAATGTTAATAGATTTTTTCAATCTTTTTATTATTACTGCTCTGAGTCTAAAGTCAACGATTAATTCATAATTAATCACAATTCATTGTTTCAGCCCCACTGCTATTAGAACTAATTATAGCGATTATATTGATACTAATATTATTAGTTCTATGGGAGCAGCTCTATGAGAACAGAGAGCAGCTCTATGACCACAGCTCTATGAGAGCAGCTCTAAGTGAACAGCTCTATGAGAGCAGCTCTATGAGAGCAGCTCTATGAGAGCAGCTCTATGAGAGCAGCTCTATGAGAGCAGCTGAGAGCAGCTCTATGAGAACAGCTCTAAGTGAACAGCTCTATGAGAGCAGCTCTATGAGAACAGCTCTATGAGAACAGCTCTATGAGAGCAGCGGAGTGATGACGGTGACTAACCAGCTGAGGGGAACCTCCCACAGGAAGCGTTGATCTGCTTCCACTGCGGTGGCCAGGCCTCTAGCAGGGAGCAGACCCATGACCCGCTGACCTTTAGGATCCCGACCAGAGAACTCCATCCCCAGCAGGCACTGCTGGAGGGCCATGTCCCCTGGAAAGAAGACAGACAGAGGTTAGAGGAGGACCAAAATCATTAGTTGCTCTGTTATTGGACCAGGATGGATCACATCGGCTAATTTTCTTCAACCATCAGTAAAAATATTAATAATATATATAANTTCAACCATCAGTAAAAATATTAATAATATATATAATTAATATTATAAATGTCCAACTAAAGTATAAACCAATGAAATTCACTGCTGTCCCTCCTTTGTCTGGGGGTGGGGGGGACGGTCTGGACACCCAGAGACTGATTCCAAAATTCCTCTTTATCAGCTGGTTGAGCTTCTTTCAGTCATTATCGATGATGATGATCAGACTCTCCACAGCAGACTGATAGAAGATCTGCAGCAGCTGAAGGACCTGAGCTTCCTCTAGAAGTCCAGTCTGCTCTGTCCCTTCTTGCAGACGGCTTCCCAGTTGTGTCTCCAGTCCAGGTTGTTGTCCAGGTGAACACCAAGGGATTTCTACTCCTCCATCACCTCCACTTCTTCTCCCAGGATGTTAACAGGATTCATCTTGTTCCTGTTTCTTCTGTAATCTCCAATCATCTCCTTGTTTTGTTGACCTTCAGGATCAGATGATTGTTTCCACGTCATGCCACAAAGCGCTTCACCAGCTCTCTGTACTCAGCTTCTGCTCCATCTGTGATGCTCCCAAAGTCAGCAGAGTCATCCCAGGATTTCAGGACTCTGTCTGGTCCTGGATATCAGAGGTGAACAGAGGAAAAAGGAATGGAGAGAGTACCGTCCCCTGTGGTGCTCCTGAGCTGCTGCATCAGCCAGCTGAGCCTTCAGTCTAACAACCTGTGGTCTGTCTGTCAGGTAGTCTTTGATCCAGGTGGTTGTTGATGCCTCCACCTGAGTCTGCTGGAGTTTCTCTCACAGTCAGTCAGGCTGAATCTGGAGAAATTAAAGACCATGATCCTCACAGTGCTGCCTGCCTTGACTAAATGACAGTGGGTTGGTTGAAGCAGGTGGATGATGACATCATCAACTCCATCTCCATGGCCATAAGCAAACAGCAGGGGGTCCTGATAGCTCCTGGCTTCATGATGTGGTTGTCAGGGCAACAGGTCTATAGTCACTGAGGACTGCTGGCTGAGTCTCCTTTGGTCCTGGAACAAGGCAGGAGGTCTATAGTCACTGAGGACTGCTGGCTGAGTCTCCTTTGGTCCTGGAACAAGGCAGGAGGTCTATAGCCACTGAGGACCGCTGGCTGAGTCTTCTTTGGTCCTGGAACAAGGCAGGAGGTCTATAGTCACTGAGGACTGCTGGCTGAGTCTTCTTTGGTCCTGGAACAAGGCAGGAGGTCTATAGTCACTGAGGACTGCTGGCTGAGTCTTCTA